CGCTGTCCCCCGAAGCGCGGGCCAAGATGCGCTCGCTCTGGCACCCCCTACACACGTCTCAGTACATGTGGAACAAGAGCTCGCTGGCCAACGTGCTGCTCTCATGCCTGGGCGATCGCACCGAAATGGCGCACAGCGTCGAGGCACGCACACCATTCCTCGACCACCACCTCACCGAGTATGTCAACCGGCTGCCGCCCAGCGTCAAGTTGGCATACTCGCCCGTGCACAAAGTCGACCAGTGCGAGCAGGGCCCGCTCTGGAAGAACGCTGGGTTGGCGCTGCAGTCGCTGACCGAGAAGTGGATTCTGCGCGAGGCAGTACGCCCATATATCACCGACGAATTATACAAGCGGAGGAAGCACCCATTCCTGGCGCCGACGAGGTGGCCCGAGGGGGGTGCGTTGCACCAGCTGTTTGGCCGGCTGTTAACTCGCGACGCTGTCGAGGCGTTGGGCTTCCTGGACTTTGCTGTGGTTGAGGAGGCGCTAGGGCATGCCTTTGGTCCCAAGGGAGACACCAAAGCCTTCCGCACGCTGGTGTATGTTGCGGCGTGGGTGACGCTGGCGGAGCGATTTGGCGTCAAGAAGGCGGATAAGGACGATTGGATTGGCCAAGGGAAGTTAGGAGGGCGGCAAGCTACGGCGGACTATTATTAACACCCTGCCGAACTACTAGTAGTATCTGTGGGCCAATACTCCGTAGCTGGAGCCCGGGAGGCCCTTTTGGTGCCCCACTTACAGAGAGTTATCCCCCCTGTAAGCCCGTGCGTACCGCGTGGCTGCCACCAAAACGCACATACTACCGCTACAGGCCGAATTATTGTACCCCTCCCCCCCTTGTGAAAAAGCTAGTATTGGAAATTAACTCACTATGCAAGATTATTAGAGCTGTTTATTTATCACTTAGATTATAGTCACATGTGCTCCAAGTCTTAAAATAAGAATGCAATTTAGAGAGGTCAAGAGTCGGGTGTGGATCTTCTGGTGTTTGCAGGGATAACACCCCTCACTAGACCGCATACTTTACTCCCCAAAGCCATGCATGTTATGAGATGATGGATGTCCACTTGTGAATTTGTAAAGCTCTGGAATTCTTTGAGGTCAATACGGTATCTATCCATCAAGGTTATTGACAACCCTCTCAGTCTCGAGTCTAGGAGAATTCCAACCGGTGTGGATCACTAGATCTAGCCTGAAGTACAGTACTAGGTCAAAAGTATTGGACCGACCCCGCATTTTCACCCCACCAACATTTTCCACTCTTCCCATACAAATTACTACTGTACGCCTGGTATTTATTGGAATCCTATAAGAATCAATTAAATAGTACGTTAAAATCTGCTTTTTCGAATGGTACTAATTTCCTAAATAAGCGACTAGATATCAGAAGCGGGTGTACCATCCCTTGGCCCTGATCACTGCATTTATACGGGTATCCATGCTCTTGATCAAAGCATCAATAGCTTCTTGCCCAATGGCGTCCCAACCCTCATGAATAGCTGTAAACAGACGTTGATACTCAGCCTTGGATTTGCCTATTTTGATTAAGTTAGGGTAGTTGTTATTGATCTATTGCTTGAGTTGCACCTAGAGATGCTCAATTAGGTTCAGATCCGGACTATAGGGGGGCCATTTAAGCAGAGATATACCCTCCTTCTCAAACTAGGCCTTGACCTTTTTTGCAGTATGGATTCAGGCGTTATCTTACATGAAAATCCGACCAGGTTCATACGTTCGAGGGATTTGCTCACGGAGAACAGTGAGATAAGAGTTGGCAGTGTATCCTGACTTCTCTGAATCAGGATTACGCTTTAAAAGAATGATATCTAAACACTTATTTTTATAAATTACACCTTATATTATAATGCTAATATCTTTACCTTTCTTAAATAGCTAAAGTATATCTTTATCTCACTTTTGTTATAGCATACAAAAGTTTTAAACTCGCTAGGCCTTAGAGCCTTTTTTAAGAAAATATTTATTACTAAATATAATCTTGTATTAGTTATTTTATATTTAATTTTTTTATTCTAAATACTAAGTAAGGCATTTAATAACTACTTTAGAAATTAAAAAAGGTCTTTTTTTAGCAAGTTAATTAGTAATACCCTTGTCTTTAAGTATTTAATAAAGAGTACTTTTTGAAACAGGTACCTTAAAGACAAGTCGAAGAGCTACATAAGTAATTCTTAGATTAGCTTAAATAATGCGTAGAATATTTCGTTTTTAAACGCGATTTAATATAAGGGGTCTACTAGACTGCGGCAAGCTATTGCCTTTATTGCGGAGTGGATTTCGTACAAGGGTGTTAAAAACAATAGATTTGCTGTAAGTAACTTTTTCACTAATTTCTATATTTAACAGCCCCACAGCCTTATAAGCTGAAATCTGACCGTGTTGAAATGGAGATAGCTCCTTGCCATAGCTCCTATTGATTTCTAGAGGCGCCAAAGCCCTGCGTTAATTCATGGTGGTTGGTTGAAAAAGGTAGTAAAAAACGCGTGTTGGAAAAAAAGTGCGCGTTGATCCAATACTTTTGACGTGGTACTGTATTAAATAATAAGTATAAGCTATTACTAAAGAGGGAAGAAAAATTACACTTTATTATCTTAAGTGATTTCCAAGCCTATTATAAGCTTTATGTTAGGGCTCAACTAGCTAAGACAAGTCTTAATTTCCTTTACTAATCTGTCCTTTTATATACCCTGATAAGCTATCTCTTCTGATCTTAATCAGAAATTATGAAAATAGTTGTAAGCACTAAATTATTATATCTTATTAATCTGTCTAGGTTTAGTTATAATATTAATCTAAGTAATGCTTTAGTATCCTTAAAGTAGTCTACGTATCTGCTGAGCGCGTCTACTTTTGTATTATTATTCCTTTTTCTGTAAGAGATCTTAAAGTTATATTTTAATAATGTCTCTAACTATCTAATCTGTCTCTTGTTAAGTTCCTTAATTGTAGTAAAGTAGAGTAAATTCTTATAATCTATATATATCTTTACTAGGTACTTAGATCCTTCTAAATATATATACTATTCATTAAATACTATTATAATAGCTAAGAGTTCCTTGTTATAAATTTTATAATTAAGTTCTGCTAGAATTATCTTTCTTAAATAGAAGACAACTAGCCTTAGTCGTCCTTTGTTATCTGATTAACTTATGCATATTCTTATAACATAGTCTAATACATCTATTTTTAAGACTATTTGTCTCTCTAGATTAAATATTATAAGTATAAGAGCAGACGTAAATCGTCTCTTTAACTCTTAGAACAAAGACTCTATTTCTATTCCTTAATAAAAGGGTTAATCTTTTTTAGTTATTAAAGTTAGTAATACTGTAATCTTTAAATACTCTTTAATAAATCTCTTGTAAAAGTTTGTAAATCTAAGGAAAGATTATATTTTCTTAATATTCTTTAGTTAAGGCTAGTTCTGTACTGCCTTAACCTTAGATTCGTCTATCTAGATTCTACTTATAGTTAAAATATAACCTAGGAACTTTACTTTCTTTTTATAAAATTTTTATACTTCTCTAGTTTAATTAGGAGATGTGTCTTCTTTAGAGCACGAAGCACCTGCTTTATATAGCTCCTGTGTTCCTCTTCTGTTTTCGAGTAAATAAGGATATTGTTAAGGTATGCTATAGCAAAGATGTCTAAGAATTCTCTTAAGATATCATTAACTAAGGCTTAATAGCAAAGATGTCTAAGAATTCTCTTAAGATATCATTAACTAAGGCTTAGAATATTATAAGTATATTTGTTAACCTGAATAATATAACAAGATATTTGTAATGGCTATACTATATACGAAACACGGTCTTTTATTCCTCTCCTTCTCTTATTCTGACCAGATTATATGCTCTTTATAAGTTAAGCGTTATAAACTATTTTGCTCTGCGAATTCTGTTATAGAGTTCTGAGATAAGTAGTAACACGTATTAATTCTTAATCGTGATTGCGTTCAGCTGTCTATAGTTTATATATAACCTCAACTTTCCGTTAGGTTTTAGTGTAAACAGTATCAGATAACTGGCTAGAGATGTTAAAGGTCTGATAAATCCTTTCTTCAAGTTTTCATCTAGGTATTTTCTGGTTTTCTTTAATTCTCTTTCTAAAAGTTAGTATATTAGTTTGAACACTAGTTTAATTCTAAGTTCTAAAGATATCTTATAGTCTTAAGGTTGATGTTTAAGCAAGGCTGTACTTTCCTTATCTTCCTTAAATAACTCCTTAAATTCCTTATATTTTGGTAGGCAGTTATTAAGACTATCTAAAGCTTCTAAGGTTATAGATTATATTTATACAGCCTTAGTAAAGTGTGCTTATATATTAGGTATCTCACACTTACAATTATAAAACATTAGTATATATAACTTCTAATTAATTACTAGGTTATAATATGTTAATCAGGGTTTTCTTAGTATAATATTATGTTTAATCTAAGTAATATCTATTACTATTTCTTTGTAATAATCCTTAATCTGTAATCTTAATAATTATGTTTCTGTAGTAATCTGTCCTTATCCTTCTTTAATAAGTAATCTATCAGCTAGCCTTAGCTAGTAAGGATTCTCTTTATCCCTAGTAAGAGTTTAATTCTAAAGTATATACTCTTGTAAGATGTAGTTCTTTATAGCTTCTGAATCTATCATGATTTTTGCCTTCTTATTATTCAGAAATATATATAATATTATATATTACAAATAATATATGTCTAATATTATAATTGTTTGTAACCTTTTTTCGTGTTCTTTAGGTCGTCTTTTTAAAGAACTTCTTAGTTTTTTGACTCTTTTAGTGCTTTATAAATATATATTCTTGTGATCTAGCATCTAAGTATCTTATAACAAGGAGTTCGTACCTCCTTAATATTTACTACTAGATAAATATTCGAATTTTCTCTTTCCTCTTTAGTATAATTCCTAAAATATGTATATCCCTTATACTCTTTATAGTAAGGGCATGACTGATTCAAGCATAGAAAGTGTTTATAAGGTTCTCGCTAAGTACAGTAATCTAAAACTGTAATAAAAGGTTTCTTGACTTTGGCGGGTTCTGCCCTCTTTAAATCGAATTCCTTGATGTCCTTGTCATTTTTGATTTCTTCCTGTGTTAGGCTCTGGG